CTCCCCCTCCCACCAGGAAAAAAGCACTTTGAGAAGCGGTTGCCCAGAGGGACCGACCCGAGCGCATCCTGCCCTCTGCCTCAGTTTCCCCCAAGCCCGCGGAGGCCCCGCCCGCAGCACCTTTCAGGTCGTGAATACCCGGCTGCGCCCTCTGCCCGCCCGCCCGCGCAGGGGCCTCACCTGGAGCCCGCGGCGCCGCAGGAGGCTCGACTCGTCCATGGCCCGGAGTCCGCGCCGCCAAGCCCGCCCCCGGCCCCGCCCCGGCCGGCCAGGCCACGCCCCCGGACGCCATTGGCCAGGCCGGTCAGCTGACGGGCCTGGCCCCGCCCCTCCTCGGGAGCCCGCCTGGAAGAGCCCCGTCCCCACCCGGCGAGCTGACCCGCCCCTCAGACCCTGTCCCCTCCCCAGAGCTTAAAAGTAAACATTTTGCAATGAACGCTCTTAAAAGTAAGGGAGCATCGTTTATCCCCATTTTGCAGACGAGGAAACTGAGGCCCAGAGAAGTTAATCCATGTGTCTAGAGCACACAGCAGAACCAATTCTAGAGTGGGAAGAACGAGGCACTCACCTCTGTGCAAAATTTAAGGGGCCCCCCAAAAAACTAAACCATCCGGAGAAATAATATTTTCATATAACATGTTTTTAAATCAAAATGAATGAAAACATTCATGATGAGTGAAACATCACAATTTTAAAGACAGGATCAGGCCGGGCGCGGTGGCTCACGCCTGTAATCCTAGCACTCTGGGAAGCCGAGGCGGCGTTTGAGACCAGCCTGAGCAAGAGCGAGACCCCGTCTCTACTAAAAAATAGAAAGAAATGATCTGGACAACTAAAAATACATACATATATAGAAAAATTAGCCCGGCATGGTGGTGCATACCTGTAGTCCCAGCTACTCGGGAAGCTGAGGCAGGAGGATCGCTTGAGCCCAGGAGTTTGAGGTTGCTGTGAGCTAGGCTGACGCCATGGCACTCACTCTAGCCCGGCAAACAAAGCGAGACTGTGTCTCAAAAAAAAAAAAAAAAAAAAAAAAGACAGGATCAGACCCTGTTCTTGCACCCCGGCCTTACTCGTCCTCGCCCTAATCCTGGCCCCGGTGCCAATAAAACCTGATTTACAAAAACAGGCAGCCACTGCAGTCGCCCGTTTTATTTTGAGGACAGCTGCCTTTGCCGAATCCTGGCCGGGCACCCACCCTAAGTGTCTCATGATCACCGCCTCTCACAGATATTTGAAAGTAATTGTTCAGTGCCACTTTGCAGAAGGGGAAACTGAGGCTGGGAAAAGTCCAAAGTCCCAAGATAGCACCCACGTTTTTTCTGTCACCGGGGCTTCCACTGTCTCTGCAGCTGCGGTTGTCCTTAGCTGTCGCCCTGTTCAACCTGGACATTAGAGAGTGTTTTCAGACTGGGGGGAACCCTAGGAAGGGTTGGGGGGCCCAGGTGTCTATGAGGTGTTGTAGGATTCCACTAAGTTCTGGTGGCCAGACTGAGCAAATGAAAACACAAGATGCCCTGGGGAAAATATTTTTCTCATACGAGTTTTAAAAATTGACATATGATTCACATACCATAAAATTCACCCTTTAAAAATGTACAATTCAGTGGTTTTCAGCATATTCAGAGTTGTATAACCACCATCACTATCTAATTCCAGAACATTTTCATCATCTTCAAATAAAACCCCTTGTCCATTAGCAGCCACTCACTGTTCACTGTCCGCCATACGAGGTTTTGTGTGGACATCTGTTTTCAGTTCTCTTGGCTATATACCTAGGAGTGGACTTCCTGGGTCATACGATACAGCTCTTATGTTTTAAATTTCAGAAAAACCACCAGGCTGTTTTCCAAAGTAGTCACCCAGTTAAATTTAAATTTCTGTAAACAATGAGTAATGTTTAAGTATGTCCCCTGTAATACTTGGGACATGGTTATGCTAAAAAATTATATGTTGTTTATCTGAAATTCGAATTTAACTGGGTGTCCTGTGTTTTATCTGGCAAACCTACACTAAGTAAACTTCAGATTGTAGCTTGCTTACCCCAAGTGATGGGAAGCTCATGTCCTGTAATGGCCAACTGTTCTGACACTGGCTATTTCCACCTCAAAGTTCTCCTTTAGTCCAGGCTGAGGTGGACATGTGACCCAGAGTCATTTATCGACCTCAGCTGCTGTGCTTGGTTCAAGGTGGACATGTGACCCAGAGCCAAGCTCAGCCAATCAGAGCCTTCCCTGAGACTTTAGCTGAAATTCTGGGTAAAGAGAGATTCCTAGAACCAGGAGTGGTTGGGTGGGCAGATGGGGACCTGCTTCAGGGAAAGCCACCAGAGAGGTCTCAAATGCCCCTGCTCCATCTGGAGAACTACACAGAACTCCCTCCCAAATGACCCTTCAATGGGCAACAGGGAGTGTTTATTGACTGGCCAACTGAATAAATGAATCAATTTTTTCATGGTGAACACCTATGCATCCTTCAAAATCCACTTCGAATTCTCTTTGAGAAGCAAAAGAGAACATTTAGTGAATGAACAAATACTTTTTTTTTTCTTGTGAACTTCTACACATCCATCAACACCCTCTTCAAATGTCTTCACCAGGGGCATCGGGGACGGTGGCTTTTGAACGAACTTAGTAGCCCTCTGTGTATTCTTTAAAACATCCTCAAACGATCCTCTGGAGGCATTAGAGGTCCTGGTTGAATGATGAGAAATGTTCTTACTGATGAATGACGGCTATAAGAGTATTTGAATAAATTTTCTCCTTGCAAACTCCTACTCACCCTTTAACATCCTCTTTAGATGCCCCTTGAGGGCAGCAGGGTCTCTTTGGCCACATGTCGGGCTGAGGGTCACTTTCCCCGAGAAGAAGGCAGAAGTGAACAGGTGGGGAAGTGCTGCGGTTCCTCTTGGCATGTTTTCCGGGGCCCCTGTGACCTGGTCCTTCCTGTTTCTTCCTCCCCCCAGTCTGTGGGGCATCTGAAAGTGGGGCAGCCCTGGGAGCTTATCTCAGTTGAGCTTCTGGGGCAGCCAGGACTGGCCAATCAGGCGCCCCCAGGGCCTCCTGGAGTAGGCAGCAGGCAGGCCTAGAGAGGGAGGGAAGGAGGTAGGTGTGGCAAGATGTGGCAGCGTGGCACAGGGGCGGGAGGATGTGGTGAACCTCAGAGTGAGCTCAGGCTGTGACCTCGTTAAGGGTAGAAATGCCATCTCACATTTGTCTGGGGTCCCCCTCCCTTGCTCACACACCCACCATGGCTCCCCAGTGCCCGTGGAGAAAACCAAGACCTTCAGCCTGGTGTTTGAGATCCCTGCCCACCTCTCTAGCTTCGTCTTGCCCCACAGAACCCCGGACCCACCCTGTTCATCTTGGTGTTCAAAGTTTATCACCCAGACTCTTGCCTCTGCTGTGGCTTCTGTCAAGGATGCTATAAAGCCCCGCTCAAGTGCTCCTCCTCCGCACAGCCCTCCCTGATTCACCTGGGAGCACCGGGCTTCCGACCCTCCCTGACCCCGAGAGGCTGGGTGCATCTGTGTCCATCTCTGCACCTCCCTCTATATCTCCCTCCCTCGGAGTTTTTCCAGTGGCTGCTCTGTCTTCGGGAGTGTGGGAAAGGGGTGTGACAAGGCAGAAGCTGCTGGAGGCACCAACAATGACAAATCGCACTGGCCAGCTGGCAGGTGGCATTTGCCAAGAGCCAGGCCCTCCTTTGTGCTCACAACGGCCCATTTTGCAGGTGGGAAAACTGAGGCTTGGGAGGCCCAACCTTGGTGGGGGGGTGGAGAGACCCTGGGGCATGGGCCTCATTCCCAAAGGGGCAAAGCTCTGCCCCACTGGGGGCCTCAGGTGGTCTGAGCACCTCTGGACTCAGTTTCCCCATCTGTGAAATGGGGCAGGTGATGGTGTCTACCGGAATGGGGGGTGGGTGTCTCAGGATGGTCTGCTCCTACCTGCCCCATCTTTCTTTATGCTTCTCTCAATCTCTGTCTCTGTCTCTGCCCCTCCCCCGGCCTCACGCACCAATCCCTTAGCCCACCCCGCCCCCTTGCTCTGGCCTGCACCCTGCGACTGGAGAAGGCTGTTCCGTGTGGGTCATGGGGTCCTCGTCCCCACTGTGCCAGGCCAAGGACACTGCCTCTTTGTCCCCAAGGCGCTGACCTCATAGCCTGCTGGGCGCCTGACCCTGGCCAGCCCAGCTGCCCCTCGGGGCCGGGCTCCTTGAAGTAGGGCCCCTCCCCTAAGGCTAAGCCACACAAACTAACCCTGCCCGCCTGGGCCTCAGTTTCCCCAGATGGCCACCCCCAGGAGGGACCCTGGCCCCCCCCGCCCCCGGTTCTCCTAGGCCAAAAGCCAGCGTTGTGCAGCAGGCAGCTCGGTGACATTTAGCGAAACAGGCCGGCAACGTCGCGCCCCCGCAGGGCAGCTCCGCGGCCAGCGTCGCTCTCCGCGCCTCCCGCCCTGCGGGCTCGGCCGCCGCCGCCGTGGGGTCGCCGAGTTTAGGTGTTTCGCGTCCCGCTTCGTCCGCCAAGCGCGGTGTTCTGGGGGTTCATCCCCATCCTCGCTCGGATCCGTGATTCTCGCGGACGTCGTGGGGCGCGGGCGACGGTGGCGAGACGAGGTCAGAAACTCAGCGACCCGGAGGCGGAGCCGGGGACCGCGCAGGAAGCGAAGAGACCATCGGGGCCAGGACCGCGCTCAGACCTCCGAGGGCGCGGGGGCTCGCAGGGGGCCGAGACGCAGCCGAGCGCACGGGACTGGCGGCTGGGCGTCCAGTTTGGGTCTGAGGCGCGGGCGGAACCCCTTAACTTGCCCCAACGGTGGGTTTGTGGCCGGGATGAGGCCGCCACCGCCCCGCTGACTTCCTGGGTTTCTTTCTCTTCCGTTTTGACTCGCCCTGGCCCTGGGATGGGCTGTGCCGCTTTTTTTTTTTTTTTTTTTTTGGTCTTTTTCTTGCTTAGATTCAATGTGTTCCGGGGTGGGGACCCGACGCCGGGCCTGCCAGCGGCACAGAGGCTCCCCTGGGGCTGCAGGCCTCCACGTGGGCGATGGGGCGGCCTGTGGCCCGGCTCCCTCTCCTCCTTCTCCTGCTCAGCAGGCAGGGCGGTGAGTCCCATCCCCGCACAGGGGCCTGTGTGTAGGGGGGGCTGTGGGCCTGGCTTGAGGGTTGGTACCTTTCCCTGTGCCTCAGTCTTTCCCTCTGTCAAATGGCAGACAGGCGATCATGGTTACCCGGTCAGACCTGGGTATCTTCCCCCTGTCTTGATTTTCTCTTCTGTGAAATGGACTAAACATTTCCCACCTCCCAGAGTTCAGTGAGGATGTTATATATATCTATATAATGTATATAGTGTGTTATGTATACAGTATACAATAGATATACACACATAATATAGTGTATATAGTTGTCCCCCAGGGGATTGGTTCCAGGACCCTCCGTGGATATTGAAATCCACGGATGCCCAAGTCTCTGATATAAAATGGAGTAGTATTTGCATCTAACCCCATCTTCCTGTACAGTTTAAATCATCTCTAGAGGCCGGGCGCGGTGGCTCAGGCCTGTAATCCCAGCACTCTGGGAGGCCAAGGCGGGAGGAGTTTGAGACCAGCCGGAGCAAGAGTGAGACCTTGTCTCTAGTAAAAACAGAAAAATTAGCTGGGCACAGTGATACACTCCTGTAGTCCCAGCTACTCAGGAGGCTGAGGCAGGAGGATCGCTTGAGCCCAGGAGTTGGAGGCTTCAGTGAGCTAGGCTGATGCCACTGCTTTCTAGTCTGGGTGACAGAGGGAGACCCTGTCTCAAAAAAAAAAAAAAAAATCTCTGGATGACTTGTAACACCTAATGCAAGGTAAATGCTACGTAAATAGTTGTTATACTGGATTGTTTGGGGAATCATGACAAGAAAAGAAGTCCATATGTATTCAGCACAGACGCGATTTCTCTTTTGGAATACTTTCACTCTGCGGTTGGTTGAATCCACAAGTACAGAGCCCATGGCCCATCTTGTGGAATCCGGGGAGAAGGGCCCAGCCCCTGCAGATATCTAGATTTGGACTCTAATCCCAACTTTGCTCCTGCTGCTGTATGATTTGGGGCAATTTCTTTGCCTCTCTGTGCCCCGGTTTCCTTCTGCGTACACTGGGCGTCAGCAGGCGGCTGACTCTTTGAATGCATGCAAAGTGCTCAGGGCAGGGCTAGCCACACCGCAAGGCTCCAGGGCTTTGGGGGGCCCTGATGGTGGGAGACCGGCACTGGGGAGGGGGACGGGGGACCCTAGATTCTTTTAGAGGGGTAGCCCACGGAGTAGCTTGCTGATGGTGGCGGTGAGTCTCGTTCTTGTTCAGGCTGGTCTCGAACTCCTGACCTCAAGCGATCCTCCTATCTTGGCCTCCCAGAGTTCTGGGATTATAGGGTGAGCCACCACGCCTGGCCCCCCTTCCTCTTTCACCCAGTTCCACACCTGGCAGACACTGTCACTTCCGAGGAGTGCGGGGCAAGCAATGGCCCAGGGAGGTTGCTGCCTCCTGGGGAGCTGTTCACAGCCCCACTGCTGATGGGCCAAGTGCGTCTCCCTGGGCTGGCGCTGGCAGCCTTGCCCCTCCCTGCCGTGCTGCCTCTACTCCCCCCGCCACGCCGGCTGTAGACTCTGGTGGTGCCCTAGGCACACCCCACTTCTTTCTGGGCCTTACTGCTGGGGGGACCTCACTATTAGGGCCCCCAACTATGTATCTCAGCCTCCACTGTGGGCTTTCTACCCAGCATCCAAAGACTAATAGGCAGTAGATGGATGGACAAATGTGTTAATGGATGGACAGATGGACAGGTGGATGGGCGTGCGGATGGGTAGGTGGACGGATGAATGAATACGTAGATGGGTGGATGGGCGGGTGGATGGGTAGCTGGGTGCATAGAAGGGAAGGTGGGCGGGTGGGCTGACGATCACTTGCATGTAGACCCCCAGGCGGAGCCCTTGTCCCCACACAGCGCAGGGCCAGGATGTCATTGTCCCTTGTTGCCGTTGCAGCTGCCTGCGGAACCAGTGGGTGCTGTTTCCAGGACACGCCACATCCGGACGCAGACTCAGGTTTGGGGCAGCCCCTCATTGCAGGCGGAGGGCCACGCCGGGCTGTGTCCGACCCAGCCAGAGCAGCCCCTGCCTCAGCCTCCCCCCACCCAGCCAAAGACCCAGCCCCATCTGTGCTCTTGGAGGCCCCGAACCCCACAACCTCCTGGCCCATTCTCACTAGGTTCAGGGTGTCTTGGAGCAGTCACCCGCTTCCCTGAGCCCTGTCCCCTCCCTAGCAGGGTCACGGGGCTAGTGTCTGTATCTGTTCAGATTGGTCAGTGCACAGGACAGAGCAGCTGTCATTAAGAATTCTGAGGTCCCCCCACCAGCTCACCCTGGGCACTCCACAAAGGACGTGGCACTGAGCAGGCACGCCGTCCGTTCCTTCACTCAGTAACTGTTCGCTGAGCACCTGCCACGTGCAGACACAGTTCTAGACACAGGGGATCACTGTGAGCCCGGCTGGCCTCTCAAGCCACAGCCTAGGGGAGGGGATGGACGGCAGGCCAACGAGTGTCCGTGCTGCGTGTGAGGACGTGCTGTGAGATGGCAGGGTGGGGGTCAGGCAGGGAAGGGGCTGCTCTGGGCTGGACGGCGCTGGAGGGCGTGACGCTGAAGAAGAAACCAGCACGTCAGGATGTGGGGGAGGGCGTTCCAGGCAGAGGGCACAGCTTGTGCAAAGGCCCTGAGGCATGGGGCAACCCCGCACATCTGAGGGTTGGTAAGGGGCATGCCAGGGTGGGAGCGAGTCCAGCCACTGGATGGCGGAGACGAGGCCGGGAAGACACAGGGAGGGTGCTGAGAGCCACAGCCGGGGACAGGGGGGAAGACACAAGTGTCAAAGATTCGTCCCAGGTGTGGAGACTGCCCGCCCCTCTACTCTGGTCTGTTCCCAAACCTACGGGATCTCTTCCAGGTTCCGCTTCGGGCCCCAAGGACCTGAGCTGCTACCGGATAGCCAGCGCCCTTTACGAATGCTCCTGGTGGTACGAGGGCCCCACGGCTGGCGTCAGACACTTCCTGATGTGCTGGTGAGGTCCCCAGCACGGGTCTCAGAGCCTCACCCCCGTCCCCTCCTGGCTCCCGCCTCCGCCTCCGCTGCGTTCCCACTCTCGGATGTGTGACCTTGGCCGTGTCATTACCCCTCCCTGGGCCTTGGTTTTGCATCTGAGAAGGGAGAGCTGGGGGACTGTGGGGGTCAGTGGGGGCTGGCATCCCAGTGTGGGGGTCCGTGAGGGTCCCTCGCGTCGCTCTTCTCCCCACCCGTCCAGCTATTCATCCATCCGTCCACCCATCCATTTCTTCCCTCTCTGTGGCAGCCCATTTCGGGACATTCTGGGGTCCCCCAAAGCCCTCCATCCCAGCCCGATCCCCAGGAACCCCCGAGCTAGGGGAGGGGAGCACACGGGGTAGCAGAGGATGCCGGGATGTGGCGCAGCGTCCTCCGTGTTGCCGGGACCCTGGGCGCCGACGTCCTCCTTCCCGCAGCCTTAGTCCCAGACGCTGCTGCTACTTCGACGCGGGCTCGGCCACCAGGCTGCGGTTTTCCGACCAGGACGGGGTGTCTGTGCTCCACACCGTCACACTCTGGGTGGAATCCCGGGCCGCAAACCAGACAGAGAAGTCTCCTGAGATCGCCCTGCAGCTCTACAGCACAGGTCCGCAGCGCACCCTCCTCCCCGTCCATGCGGCGCCTGGAGAAGGCTCCGGGCCCCAAGCCTGGACCCAGGGGATTCCAGGCCCCTGGCACGGGGCTTGACACTTCCAGATATTGTCACATCAAACACTGCGTGTGACACGGAGGTTTTTCATGGCTTCTTGCCAGTCCCCTGTTGTTGGACACTTAGGTTGTCTCTGGTGTCTGATATCCATAGCGCTGCCAGGACCCTGTTGGGCTCTTAACATCTGTTTTCGTGACTCAACGACGTGTATTTTGCATGCAGTTGTGGAGCTGCTCCTGTGCTCTGGTTTTAGTAGAGACGGGGTCTCGCTCTCGCTCAGGCTGGTCTCGAACTCCTGAGCTCAAGCGATCCTCCCGCCTCGGCCTCCCAGAGTGCTGGGATTGCAGGCGTGAGCCACCGCGCCCAGCCGAGACATAATGATTATACACAGTGAGATACTACTGGGAGGTCAGGGAGGCCTCCGGCTGGCTAGAAAGGATCTGGCAGGAACAAAGGCGGAGGAACGTGGTCCAGGCAGAGGGTACGGCGAGCGCAGAGGCCCTGGGGTAGAACGAGGCAAGCTCTCCAGCGTTTGCAATAGCCAAGACGCGGACACAGCCACGTGCTTGGAGATGGCTGGCTGGCTAAGGAAAGGATGACGCTCACATGATGGGATATCACTCAGCCTTTCGAAAGAAGGAAATCATGTCATTGCCACAACATGGATGAACCGGGAGAACATTATGACAAATGACATAAGCCAGGCACGGAAACAAAAGTACTGCCCGGTCTCACTTATATACGGATAAAAAGAAGGTCAAATACATAGAAATAGAGTAGGACAGTGGTTACCAAGGTGGGAAGAAGAAGGAAATGTGGAAATGTAGGTCAAAGGGTACAGATTTGCAGTTTCATGGCATAAACAAACCCAGAGTTTCAATGAACAGCAGGAAGGCTGTAATTATAATGTTATACATGAAAATTTGCTAAGAGAATAGATTTTAGGTGCTCCCCCCCCCCCCACGGTAACTATATAAGGTGATGGGGCCGGGCGCGGTGGTTCACACATGTAATCCCAGCACTCTGGGAGGCTGAGGCAGGAGGACTGCTTGAGGCCAGGAGTTCGAGACCAGCCTGAGCAAGAGCGAGACCCCATCTCTACAAAAAATAGAAAATTAGCCAGGTGTGGTGGCGCATGCCTATAGTCCCAGCTACTTGTGAAGCTGAGGCAGGAAAAATCACTTCAGTCCAGGAGTTTGAGGCTGCAGTGAGCTATGGTGACGCCACTGTACTCTAGCCTAGGTGACAGAGCAAGACCCTGTCTCAAAAAAAAAAAAAAAGGCGATGGATATGTTAAGTTGCTTACTGTGGTGATTTCACAATGGAGATGCAGATCAAAACATCATGCTGCTCACCTTAAATTTATACGCTAATAATAACTCTTTAAAAAAGAATCAGGCATGGTATGACCAAGGTGTAGCAAGAGTGATTTATGTCTCTCCTTAGGTCAGGCTCCTTGAAATGGGTCTAAAAATTTAGTAAGATTTCCCTAATAGTCCTCCAAAGAAATCAAATCAATTACCCTCTCACCAGCAATTTACTAAAGCGTCTGTCTCACGACAGCCTTGCCAGCAATGGGTATTAATATTTTAAAGATATTGTCACTAACAGCACCCTGTGCATAAATCTTGATTCTTTGAATTGTAGACTACTAGGCTTAGCTGGGACCTGCAAGGGTGTCCTTAATTCACATTTGGGGGACTCACTTGGTTACCCTGGGCTGGGAAGGGCACAGACCAGTTTTCCGGAATTTTCGAGACCGGTCAACTCACTCACGCACATGTGGGCTGCCCCTCCCCGATTCCCACCTCTGCTTCCAGTTAAATATGACCCTCCCCTGGGAGACATCAAGGTGTCCAGGCGAGCGGGGCAGCTGCTGATGGAGTGGGAGACCCCAGCCCAGCAGGACGGTGCCGTGGTGCAATTTCGGCACCGGACGCCCAGCGGCCTGTGGAAGTTGGTGAGTTTATTTCCCAGGTCAGGGGTGGACACAGGACTCTCCAGGGTACCCCCCTCCAAATCAGTCTCACCACGTCTACAGCCGTCACCCCTCCCAACCAGCCTCCACTCTCGCCTTGTGTGTACCCCCAAGGTCAGAGCTGACCATGACCTCCCCTGCTCACACACCCTCCATGGCTCCCCGTTACCCTCAGGGGATCATCCTCATTCTCCGCCCTCATTGCCTTCCTGGTGCTTCCTCTGACACCCTCCCGAATGGCTGCCATTCTCTGCCCATGCCCTGGGTCTCCAGCCTCCTTGCTTTTGCACACGAGGTTCCCTTCACCTGCATGCCCTCCCTTCATCTGAGCGCACGCAAATCCCTCCCAGCCTTCAGGGGCCAGCCCCAGGCCCACCTCTCCCGGGAAGCTGCCTTTCCATCCATCCATCCATCCATTCATTCTTCAGCTACTCTCTGGCAGGGCAGATCTGAGCTTGCAAGAAACCTCATCCCTGACCTGCTCCCCAAGGGTCCCCCAGCTTGGAGCAGACAGAGGCCCCCCCAGCCCCAGCCTCTAAACTGTGGCCAAGCTCCTCCTCCCTCAGACTGGGAATGTCATGGGGGCAAGGAGCTGCCTGGGCTTCAGCCCCCTCTTCCCTCCAAACACTGTGCCCCTCCCTGAGCCTCAGTTTCCCCATCAAGTAAATGCGCATGAAATCAGCCAGGGACAGGTGACACGGGACCCCTGATGGGAAGGAGCGTCTCTTTATGTTTTATTTGCAGCCCCTGAGCACGTTCCTCCCTACGCTCTCCCAGCCTCCTTTGCAGACGAAGAGAACTGGGCTCAGACGTCAAGGAACGTGCTCAGGGTAACGCAGGGCGCAGGGCGCCCTGCTGGGTCCGCCAGCACAGACGGACAGGTTTCGAAGGCACCATTTTGTCTCTTAAAATAATTTTTTTAAATAACCGCTTTCTTTTGGGGTAATGTCAGAGCTTCAGAAAAATGACAACATAGAGCTCTGCAGAGATCTTCTGTCTGCCCTTGACCCAAATTCCTCTAATGTTTACGTCCTCCGTAAACGCCAGACGGTATTTGGCTGTCACCGATTTTCCCGTGAATGTCCTTTTTCTGTTCCTGGATCCAATCTAGGGTCCCACATTGTATTTCATAAAATCATTTTTAAAATTTTAAAACAGCAAATATTTTCAGCACCATAATGCAAAATAATGTATAAACACGTTTTCATTCTAGGGCGACTGTGGACCCCAAGATGATACGGGTGAGAATAATAATAGTAATGACAAGAACAACCGCAACAGCTGCTGCAAGTTAGCATTAATTGAACACCTACTGTATGCTGGGCCTGATGCTAAATTCTTTGTATGCCTCTTGCCCTGCTTCGTACTTTAGTGTTGGGTTATTCCCATTTCACAGGTGAGAAAACTAAGGCTTGAGGGATAAGAAGCCATTGACTAAGGTCACAATTCAAGGGGTGGCCAGGACTTGAACCCAGGGCAGGGGCAGAAGTGGGTGATCCTCGTGGCCTCATGAGGACAGGGCCTGGTCTGTTCCTGCTGAGTCCCCAGGGCCCAGCACATGTCTGTGTACACAGTTGGAGCTCAATAAGTGCACGATGGCTATGCGAACAATGCCAAGCTCTGAGCAATTCCCACAGCCTGATGTTTGACCTGTCTCTCCCCAGAGTCCTGCCTCTGCCCCCTGGAGATGGAAGTGGCCCAAGAATTCCAGCTGCGACGGCGGCAGCTGCGGCTGGGGGCCCCAGGAGGTCCCTGGAGCAGCTGGAGCAGCCCTGTGTGCATCCCCCCTGGTGAGAGTGCCCTGGGTCACAGGAGCGGGGCAGGCGTTACAAATAAGGCGGCAGGTATTAGAAACAAGGCGGCGGAGGCCAGGCGCGGTGGCTCACACCTGTAATCCCAGCACTTTGGGAGGCTGAGGCAGGAGGATCACCTGAGACCAGGAGTTCAAGACCAACCTGGGCAACATAGTGAGACCCTGTCTCTACAAAAAATTTAAAAATTAGCCGGGGTGGTGGCACGCACCGGTAGCCCCAGTGACTCGGGAGGCTGAGGCTGGAGGATCGCTTGAGCCCAGGAGTTCGAGGCTGCAGTGAGCTATAATCACGCCACTGCACTCTAGCCTGGGCAACAGAGCAAGATCCTGTCTCAAAAAAAAAAAAAAAGACAGAAAGAAAAAGAAACAAGGTGCAGGGGTTAAACATAAGGCGACTGATGTTAGAAATAAGGCGGTGGGAGAAATGAGTGCTCAGACCCCCTCACAGCGCAGTACCTGGCCTCACTGCCTGGGCCTTGCCGCGCCCACGTTAGGGCTTTGTCACGTAAGAACCATCAGGCTGAGCCTCACAGCCTCTCAAGGACAACGCCTCCTGCCTGGGGGTTAAATGGGCTGCTGCCCTAACTCTGGGCAAGGGGGAAATGAGTGAGGGGCGTAACCACGCCAAACACACGTTTGTACTCAAAGACAAACTTGGAGAAAACAAAACAACAGATAAACCAGCATTTAAAAGGAAAAGCTTGGGCGCCGTGGAATCATGGTGACAGTTACCCCTGGGGACGGAGGTGCGAGGAATGGCGGTTCCCCTTCTTCCCTTCGGTCCCTTTTCTGTGTTCAGGGCAGCGAGCAAGTTTCACTTTGTAAACGTGGCAAATTCCTAACTGACAAAGAAAACATCTCAGTCTTCCTCTCCTTCCAATGCATCCCGTTGCTTTGGCTCTGGTTGCAGAACGCCCCCCACAGCCCGAGGTGAGGTTATTGGTGGAGCGGCTCGGCGAGGATGGGAGGAGGCGGCTGAGCCTGCGCCAGCAGGTAACGGGGCGTGGCGGGGCTGCGGCGTGGCGGACAGTGAGAGGCAAAAAGCTGCAGGGGGGTGAGCAGGTGGGAGACGGAGGGAGACGAGATGTCAGGTGACAGGGACTGGGCAGACTGTAGGTTTAACTCTGAAGGTAATAGGGAGCCATGGAGTGTGCGTGAGCGGGACAGGCTCATGCTTGCACTCAGGTGTTTATAGGCTCTCTTTGGCTCCTATGGGGGAAAAATTGTGCTGGGGGCGGAGTTGGGCAGAAGCCAGAAGGCCAGGAAGGAGGTGGTAGTGACTGCTTTAAGTCCCAAGCAACCCCGTTAAGTGCGGTCTAATTGGCTCCGTTTTATAGAGAAGGAAATGGAGGCACGGAGGGGAAGTCTGTGTAAGGGGTAAAGCTGACAAACACTCCCCCACTGACTTCAGCGTGGCTGACTTGGCCGGGTTGCTGACGGGCTGCTACCGTGAGCCCCTTGCTGTTAGGTTACGGCAAAGCCCTTCCTGGCCCGCTTCCTCTAACTCAGTTCCTTTTCTTAGGAAAAAATTTTTAGGGCTGAGGTAACTGGGTCCAAAAATGAAAACCCTTTCTTCCCCCGGATCTCAGCGGATCTCGTCGATTTTCCCCCAAAACTGGCTGTGAATGCCTGTTTCCCAGCAGCTTTGCCGGCACTGAGGTTTATCGTTTTTTAGATTTTTGGTGCGTGTCATTGGCTGTGGCCCTTGGCCAGGTCTGTCCTCACAGGCTGTGTCCTGCTGAGCGTCCACGGGACGATGAGTGTGATAAGTTCCCCACGATCTGTCTCTCGCACGACAGCCGAAGCAGCATCAGCTTCCAGAAGGCTGCCAAGGGCCGGCGTCTGGCGCAGAGGTGACCTACCGAGTCCGCCTGCACATGCTATCCTGCCCCTGTAAGGCCAAGGCCACCAGGACCCTGCGCCTGGGGAAAGCGGTCTATCTTTCGGGTGCTGCCTACAACGTGACTGTTGTCTCCCGGAATCGATTCGGCCCTGGCCCGAACCAGACGTGGCACATTCCTGCCGCCACCCGTGCAGGTGCCTCCTCTGGGGGGGGAGGGCGTGGGGGGCCCTTCGGAGCCGAGCTCCTGCGCCGACCCTCAGCCAGGCCAGGGCGAGAGAGAGAGGCAGAAGAATTCAAGGGGGCGCCTGATTTAGGGGTGCGGCAAAAATTCAGGAATCGAGATCCATAATGCTAGAAGGCGGGGCTTAATTTGTTTGTTTTTGAGACAGGGTCTCGCTCTGTCGCCCAGACTGGAGTACCATGGCATCATCACAGCTCACTGCAGCCTCCAACTCCTGGGCTCAAGTGATCCTCCTGCCTCAGCCTCCCGAGTAGCTGGGACTACAGGCGCCACCACCACGCCCAGATAACTTTTTAAAATTTATTTTGATAGAGATGGGGTCTTGCTATGTTGCCCAGGCTGATCTTGAACTCCAGGCCTCAAGCGACCCTCCTGTCTCAGCCTCCCAAAATTCTGGGATTACAGGTGTGCGTCACCGCACCTGGCCCTATAATGCGATATTTCTAAAATAACCAACAAATTATAACCCGGGCTGTCCATGTGTTTTTGGAACTAAAGCTTTATTGGGACCAGGGCCAGGATCGGGGTGAGGCGAGGGAGGCAGGGTAGGGTTGATCTTGTGTTTTATTTAAAATCTTGATATTTTGTTTTCTATACAGATATTTTACTGATCTAAAATCCACATAGCAAAATTAACCATTTTAAAGTGAGCAATTCAGTGGCATTTAGTACACGACGAGGGTGCGCAGCCACCACCTCTGTCTAGTTGCAAAACGTTCTCGTCCCCCAAAAGGAGACCCCGTCCCATCAGCAGTCACTCCCCACCCCCTCCCCCAGCCCTGGCAGCCGCCGATCTGCTCCTGTCCCTGTGGCTCGGCCTGTTCTGGACATGTCTATGAAGGGAGCCACACTCTGCGTGGCCTTTGTGTGTGGCTTCTCTCCCTCCGCGTCATGTTTCTGGGGTTCATCCACGTGGCAGCAGGTGTCGGAGCCGCACTCCTGTTCGGGGCTGCATGGCGTTCCCCGTGCGGCCGGGCCCCATTCTGTCCATCCGCTCGTGGGTCGATGGGCGTTGCAGTCGGTGCTGCCTCGCCGTTGCGAACAGTGCTCTGCGCTCGCTGTATGTCTTTGCATTCATCTTGCCGCGCAAATACATTGCATTAAAGCACTATTTGTCTTGATGACTAAGCTTTTCCGTGCCCCCTTAGATTTTGTGCCTGAGCACCCAGCGACCCTGTGAGGGCGGGGCCGTCACAACGACGCCCATGTTAGAGATGACGCAACCAAGACTCACACAGGCGAAGCCACGTGCCAGGGTAGCAGAGCAGCTGGTTCCATGGTTAGGACCACAGTCTCGCTGAGTGGTCCCAGGCGAGTGGTCGCTTGCTCTCTGAGAGCCTCAGTTTCCATATCTGTGAAATGGGGCAATCGCGGCCCCATGCTCTGACGGAGTGGCGCCTGCGAGGCCCTTGGCACTGGCCTGGCACGTACAGTCAGTGCTCAGTAAACAGTAGTTGCTGGCTGAGTGTGACGGCTCACACCTGCACTCCCAGCACTTTGGGAGGCTGAGGCAGGAGGATGGCTTGAGGCTAGGAGTTCAAGACTAGCCTGGGCAACAGAGCAAGACCCCATCTCCACAAAAAAATTTTTTTAATTAGCCAGGCGTGCTGCACAACTGTAGTTCCAGCTACTCAGGAGGCTGAGGCAGGAGGATCGCTGGAGCCCAGGACTTTAAGACGGCAGTGAGCTGTGATCAGGCCACTGCACTCCAGCCTGGGTGACAGAGAGAGACCCTGTCTCCAAAAAATAAAAATACAAAATAAATGGTTGCTGCGCTCAGACTGGGAAGCAGCGCCCGCCTCTCTGGGATCTGCAGACACTCTTGCCGTGGGAGTGGGAGAGCTTTGCGCGGGGACCGCGTGGGTGTGTTCTCGTGCTTCGAGCTTGGCATCGGGCCAGCGGGCCGGTCAGGCCGGAGCTCGGCCTCGCATCACGCTCTGCGGCAAGGCAGGCGGTGGGCGGCCAGGCATCTGCTGCGGCAGGAGCCGCCCACAGGCCGGGTGGGCGAACGGCAGCACAGACAGCCTGACGGCGGCTGCCTTGGCGGGGAGCGCGGTCAGGCTGGAGGAGGCTCGTTCAAACACCCTGACGCAACCCCCTCCTCCCCTTCCAGAGCCGGGGGCTCTGAACATCAGCGTCGGAGCCCACGGGACCAGCATGCACTGGCCAGCCCGGGCTCAGGGCACAACGTACTGCATCGAGTGGCAGCCCCGGCGCCAGGACGGGGGCCTGGCCACCTGCACCCTGACTACGCCCCAAGCCCGGGATGCGGCTGGAACGGGTACGGTAGTGTCGGTGACCTGCCTCTGCCTCTGCGTCCTGTGCAGCTCCTGGCTGGCGCGAACCTCAGGGATGTACACGCGGGCTGTCGAAGGGCCAGAGACTATTGCCATTTACTGGAGGTCACACAGAGGTGGGCACGGGCTGAGACTCAGACCTTCTCCCCCGTGTGGCTGCGCAGCTCCTGCCAGGGTGCCGAGTTCAGCCCTGGGCAGGTCGCGCCCCGGCGGGTGACGCATCTCACGTCCCAGGGTGTTTGTTAAATATTTGCCCGCACCAGGGAAGGTGGCGGCCAGCGAGATGCTGGTGGCAAATTAACGAGGCCTCTAGAGGGTAGGAGGAGCTGCGTGGCTCAGGCAGCCTCTTACTCTCTCACTTCCTGCCCTGGGCCTGGTCCGAGCCTCAGCTCAGCCTGTTTCTTAAGGAGTTCCCAGACCGAGGAGACAGCTGGACACAGATGCCAAGGCCCTGTGGAGTAAGGGCTGGGTTGGAGCGGGACACGGACAGGTTGGAGGAGTTGCATAGGGAAGAGATCCTGGAGGAGTGGGCATTGATGCAAGGGCTTTGAAGCATGAGTAGGAGTGTTCTAGGAGTTTCCAACAGATGACACAGCCAGTGCAAAGGTACAGAGCTGGGAACACAATCTGTTTAGTGGCCTGGCCTCTGCTTTTCCTTCCAGCAACCCACAGCTGGAGCCGAGCACCCAGGGCGATGGGGCACGAGGAGTGTTACCAGATCACGATCTTTGCCTCTGCACACCCGGAGAAGGCCACATCATGGTCTACGGTCCTATCCACTTACCACTTTGGGGGCAATGGTGAGTGGTGCAAACCTGCAGCTTCATCTCCCTGGAGGACTCGGCAGTGGCTTTGGGTGTCAGGAGGAGGGAGCGAGCCAGACGCACCTGCCGCATGTCAGGCCGGACACGTAGAAGTCAGCTCAGTGGGCTCCAAAGACACCCTGAGCAGCACTGCCCCATTTTACAGATTAGCAAACTGAGGCTCGGAGAAGTAAAGTGATGGCGATTGAGCGGTGGAGCTGGGATTCGAACCCAGGCCCACCTGACTGTGGCCAAGTTCACCCGGTCTCTGGACGGTGGGGGCTGGGCACTCAGGAAGTGCTCGACCAGCGCCCTCGGTGTTGACCGTGGCAATGGTGCCGCTTGCAGCCTCAGGGGCCGGGACCCCGCATCACATCTCGGTGAAGAATCACAGCCCGGACTCGGTGTCTGTAGACTGGACGCCGTCGCCGCTGAGCTCCTGTCCTGGCGTCCTGAAGGCGTATGTCGTGCGCTGCCGAGACGAAGACAGCAACCAGGTGTCGGGTACGTGAGGCGGTGCAGGCCCAGCTGGGGAGGAAGGGGTCTCGGCTTGAGGTCTGCCTTGCTGTGTGACCCTGGGCACCTCACTGCCCTCTCTGGTCCTCAGTTTTCCCACCCTTGCTCTGTTGCCCAGGCTGGAGGGCAGAGGCATGTTCACAGCTCACTGCAGCCTCCAACTCCTGGGCTCAAGGGATCCTCCTGCCTCAGCCTCCCGAGTAGCTGGGACTACAGACGTGCATCACCACGCCTGGCTAATTTTTAAAATATTTGATAGAGATGGGGTCTTGCTATGTTGCGCAGGCTGGTCTTGAACTCTTGGCCTCAAGCTGTCCTGCTGCCTCAGCCTCCCAGAGTGCTGGGACTACAGGCGAGAGCCACCTGCCCGGCCTGGACTCAAGGGTCCAGACCCCCAGGGAGGGCTGGGTGTGCATCAGCTGAGTGTCCACGATGTTCTGGGAGTGTCTGTGGCAGCCCTTCATGTGCACCAGCCGCCGGCTCCCGTCAAGCAGTGATGACAGCCCTGTCCCCATTCCACTGATGGGGAAACCGAGGTCTAGAGAGGGGATCCACCCGCCCAGAGATCCAACAGACCTGGATTTGAGCCCTGTCAGATGTCCCTTCCTGCCTTTAGGAGGGAAAGAAATGAGAACGTACAGGCAGGTCTCATGTCCCGCCCTGGCTGTGACAGTGTCCCCGGGGCTGGAGGCGCATGGAGGGCTCCCATTCTCCCTGCAGGCGACACAGCCTTGCAGACGAGGCCTTGCCCTCCCGGCCTCCCGCAGCCACAGGCCAGCAAGACCTGAGATCCTGTCCCGCCCCACCCGCCACCCCCACTGTCACCAGCACCCAGCGCGAGGTTGTCTTGGCATCAAAGACCCTGCCCTCATCTTGGCCACCTCCAGCGTGTTTGGAGGGGGAAACTGAGGCAGCCCATGTGTGGAAACCGACCTGCCAACAGCCAGGGTGCGGGGGGTCAGGCACGCGGAAGCACCGTGTGGCCAGCTTTACCAATTTCCCCAACATTTCTTTCGGGGAAGATGCCTCTTAAACAAAGAACGCGGATGCGGCGTTCAGGAATACTTCCTTGGCGGCGCAGCCGGGGCCGGCGTCCTCCTTTCGAGGGCTGCTAAGAAGCGTTTTACGAGAGCCGTTCCATTCGGCAGACGCCGGCTGAGATGCTCCCGGGTGCCGGAGCGCTCGGGGCGGAGCAGACGCAGCCACCCCAACCCCGACTCTGAAGACCCAAAGGAGGCGAGGGAGGGAACCGCGTGGGTATCTGGGGAAAGGCGAACCAGGCGGGGCAATGGCCGGTGCAAAGACCCCGAGGTAGGACTGAGCCGGTGTCTTGAGGGCGCACTGAGGAGGCGGATGTGGCTGGAGGGAAGTAAAGGGGTCCCGGCACCCATGGCTGCCTCCCCCCCGCAGAGCAGCCCGTGAAGCCCACAGAGACCCAAGTCACGCTCCGTGGCCTGCGTGCTGGCACAGCCTACACGGTCCAGGTGCGAGCAGACACGGCACAGCTCAGGGGTGCCTGGAGCCAGGCCCAGCACTTCAGCATCGGTGAGTGGAGCAGGCAGGGCCTAGTTATTAACTCAGTGTGCACTGCACCCAGCTTCCCATAAGGATCTGAGCAACCCTGCCCTCACTCACATCCCTTCCATGGCTCCCTATCTCCCCGAGGAGAAAGTCCCAGCCCAATCGGCTCCCACCTCCTTCCCTTCCATTTCCTGCAGTTTCTGTTCATGAACATTTCCTCACACTCCAGGGGCTTTGCCCATACAGGCTCTCCCTGCCTTGAATGTTTGTTTTCCCCATCACCAAACTCCTATTCATTCTTCAAAACCCAGCTCAAAAAAACCCCTCCTCCAGAAAGCCTTCTCTGTCTCCCTCTGGCTATGCCCCCATCTACCACTGCTCCTTCTCCCTGGTCTGACATCTTAGGGTTGGGGTTATCTGGGTCAAAATCTGCCTCCCCCAGCCTGGGTGAGGGCTCCTGGGGAGGAAGAGGGAGCAGAGTCTGTTTATTCAATGGATGAATAAACGAGTGTCTCTCTCATCGAAAGGATGAGAAGGACACAGGCTCTGTTGTCCTGGGGTGCATGGTCACGAGAGATTCAGGGACCAAATGATTCCTGGTCCTGCCACGGTGAACTCTCAGTCCCAAGGGGACCAATGGGATCCAAGAGAACCAATGAGTCAGCCGTGGGCGGGGGCAGGTCTGGGTCCAGAGGGCAGCCACGTGGGCCGAGTGTGAATGAGCAGGTGCCTAGAGCTACAGTGTCCTGAACACTCACTGTGTGCCAGGCCTTTATTTCTCAATAGCTACCGAGCAGGTGGCTTCCACGGCCCCCACTTCCCAGATAAGGAAACCCCTCCAGCCCCTTCCCCGAACAAGAGGCAGGAGGTGTCCCTCCTCCAACTCAGCTCTCCCGCCCCCAGAAGTCCAGGTTTCCGATTTGTTCATCCTCCTCGCGTCTCTGGGCAGTTTCGTGAGCATCCTCCTCCTGGGAGTCCTTGGCTACTTTGGCCTCAACAGGTAACTCACACCTTCTCCCCCGAGAGGATCCGTGAATAATAACTTCTCACATCAAGTATGTACCTGGTTGTGCCAACTTTACAGACGAGGAAACTGAGGCCCAGATGGTCAGAAATTGGCCCAGGGGACCCAACAGTGGGGGTGGAGGTGGCATTTGAATGCGAGTCTGTAGGCCTCCTCCCCTCCATCTCTGCCCCTATCCGTATCGTCACAGCCATTATAGCCTAACAGAGATGGAAAAGTTAGGTCAGAACAATCAAAAAGTAAGAGCGGACAGAAGCACTGCTCCTCTCACTGCCCCCTCCCCCAGGGCTGCTCGGCACCTGTGCCCGCTCCTGCCCACACCCTGTGCCAGCTCTGCTGTCGAGTTCCCCAGCAGCCAGGGGAAGCAGGTAAGTGCTCCTTTCCTCACTCGAGGTCCTGGTTTATGGGTGCACACTCTGGGCGAGGGCTCTGCTGAGCAATAGCCATGCATCTGCTCATTTTATTCTCCCCCAATCCATTGAGATAGGGACTCTAAAACCAGTGCTCCAAACCCCTTCCCATTTTACAGACAGGCAAGCAGAGGCCCAGGGAGGGATCCATCTCTTTGTGCTGCTGGCATCCCTGTAGGATTCTCTCCTGGGCAGGCTCAGCCTTCCTCTACTGGAAGGAGGGTGTCCATTTTCCCCATTAACTGAAGCAAAAGTCTCAGGGCCACCACTGATTGGTCCAGCTTGGGTCACATGCCCTTCCCTGAGCCTATGGCTGGACCCAGGGGCCTGAAATTCTCTGATTGGCTGGGCCGGGGTCACCTGCCCATTGCTAGAACGGGGGTGGGGCCTCTGCACCGTCCAACCAAACCATCCGGGAGGAGAAGCAATTTTCCAAAGAGGAATGGGGGTGACCTTCTTAAGAAACGCTGCGTGGGGGTCACTGAAGCAAAGTGGACCCTCAAATTGGTCCCTGAATTTGGGAGGGTTTAGCCAGCAGGGGCCTGGGCCGTTCCCTCCTGCATGGGTGGGAAACAGAGCCCCGCCCACAGCCTGGGCCCCACCCTCTCTCTCCAGACTTGGCAGTGGATCACCCCGGCGGACTTCCAGGAAGAGGTGTCGCTACAAGATGCCCTAGTGGTAGAGGTGTCCTGGGACAAGTGTGAGGGGACAGAGCCTCTCAAGGAGAAGACAGGGCTGCCCTGGGGTGTTCCCAAGCTGGCCCTGGCCCCAGAGCTGTCCTTGGAGGATGGAGACAGGTGCAAGGACACCCCAAGGCCGATGTCCTGGGGCCCAGAGGGCAGGGTGGTCAGGGGGACAACCGTGCCCAGGCGGATGGACTCCTGCTGTTCCCAGGAGACGTAACGCAGAGACCCAGGATTGGGACACTTGGTGCCCCTAGAGGCCCGAGGGAGAAACGGTCACATCCACTTTGTCTTACAGACAGGAACACTGACCGTCGCAATCATGATGGCTGGTTATTAAGCACTTATGGTATACCCAGCCCGTTCCATCCAGACACTCTCATGACGCACCACCCACCAAATCCCACCGCTGCCCCTGCAAGGCACCGTGGCTGTTCCATGTCATAGATGTGGCCACTGAGGCTCAGAGTGGGTGAGTGACTCGCCTAAGGCCACACAGCACACGTAGGAGTCATATTTGGGCCTGAGTGACACCAGGCCCCTCCCCCAGACCGCAGCACCCTGCCCCCGCCCTGACCTACTCTGACCAGCGCCTGTCGCTTCACATCGTATGGTGGGACCTAGAAACCACCGCGAAATAGAAGCGACTGCGCCCAGCTGGGCCGGACACCCACGGGCAGGGACAGACCCTGTCACTGGCGAGTTCTGGAGCAGGATAGACGGGGGGTGGGGGGCAAATGGAACTCGGATCGATCCCAGAGCCCTGGACCGCGCGTCCTCTCCCAGGAGCTCAGGACGGGGAGTCTGGACGCAGGGCTCCTCGCAGCACTGTGAGGTCTCGGGGCTGGGAGGATCCGGGTGTGGGGGGCGAGAGGGGCTCTGAACGTTCTGGGGAAGGCATGGTCCCTCCCCAGCCTCAGTCTGCCCTCCACACCCCGCAAAATGGGGGTGATGATAACGTTGACCTCACAGAGCCGTTCAAAGCCGTAATAAATGAGCTCCCTCTCGGGTATGTCTTTGCTCTGATTGAAGTTCGAACGCTCTGCTCAAAATCCCCAGATGGGAGTGTGAAAATGCATCCATGCATCCATGCATTCCACACACATGTATTAATCTCTCCCTCTGGGAACCCCCAGGGGGCGCCCAGTCTGGGGGAGGCGGAGCCAATGAGCGCCCAGAACTCTGCAGAGACAGGCCTGGGCAGGGGGAGGGACGGCTTGGGGGGTGGGGCGGCTAGGTCCCCCCATAACAGCAGCCTTGGTTGGTCCCCAGCGCCCTGCCAGCGCCCTGCAGCGGCGCCCCTGCCCCCCATACACACGCTGAATTCGCCCTCTTCCTGTCCACACCGCCAGACTTCCCCCCAACCCGCCCTGGCAACCCCCGCTCCCCACAAAAGCCTGGGAGGTGGGAGGTGGGAGGAATCCTGAAATCCCACCTGGTGGGATTTCCCATCCGGGTGGTCCCGGATTCCCCGAGTGGCCACCAGGTGGCAGCAGCGGCGCGCCCTGCTCCTCCCACCGCCCTTGGGCTTTTGCTAAACAGATTTTTCGCTTGGGATGGAGGCGGGGAATTAAAACCCAGAAGCACTGAATGTGGCGGCAAAAAGGGACGAGGCCTCTGGGCAAGGAGCCCAGGCCAGCTACAGCCCGGCTAATTCTTTTTTCTTTTTGTAGAGATGGGGGTCTATGTTGCTCAGGCTGGTCTTGAACCCCTGGCCTCAGGCACAATCCTCCCGCCTCAGCCTCCCAAAGTTCTGGGATTCCAAGTGTGAACCACAGTGCCCGGCCTTGTCCTCCTCACTCGTTAGGGCAGGGCTGCAGGCTGAGATGGGCCACGGCAGTGGCAGGACCAAGTGGACAGAAAGGAAGGGAGGCTGGGTCAGTGGCCTCACCAGAGTGACCTGACCCCCAAGGTTTCCAGGCAGCTAAGTGCCCCCTTATGTGCCGTCCCAATCCTGGGCAGTGTTACAGGACCCTGTTTGGTGGCCCTTGGAGTTGGCTAAAAACTCACCCTCCAGGCACAGCCCTCTGGGACAGGCAATGTTCACTGAGCACTGGCTAGAACTTTTGCTGGAGCGTATGAGGAAGATAGACACCCTCCATCCACTAGGGGAGCTGAGCTTGGGGGCCTCTTTCCCACCATGGGGGAGCCTGCCTTCCAGAAGTGTCTCCAGGGAGGACAGCAGCACAGAAAGATGGAGTATTAGTCCCTGGATCCAGCCATGCCTGAAACCCAGAATTTCCCATTTTTGTTAAGCCACTTTGAGTCTTCATTCTGCCGCTAGGAAATGACCCACAGGAGGTTCTCTCTGGGCCTCTGCTTGCCTGTCTGTAAAATGGGAAGGGGTCTGGAATCAATGATTTAAGAGACTTTGTTTAGCAGAGCCCTGACCCAGTATCTATTGAGCAACTACTGTGTAACTCATGACTCCAGGGCCCTTCAGACTGTCCATCCCTCAGCTTCTCCCAGCAGTTTCAGGAGTCAGGACTGTGGTAGCCCTGATTTCACAGCCCAGCTTCATTCGTTCATTCAAGAAGTCAGTGTTGAGTGCCTACTGTATACCAGGCCCTGTTCTGCACAGGTCAGAATTTACTCAGTCACGGAGAGGGGCTCCCAGTTGGGTGGGGAAGGCAGACAATAATTCAGTCATTGTACGGAGAGTTGATAAGCTTGCAAGTGATGGTGGGAATGTGAGAAACGGGGGGCAGGGGAAGACTTCCTGGAGGAGGCAATGCCAGGGCTGAGATGGGGAAGAGGAGCCAGAACAGTGCGTGCAAAGGCCCTGAGGCAGGTGTAACTGAGGGGGGAGAGAGAAGTCAAAGCCCACTGGGGGCCAGGCGCGGTGGCTCAGGGCTGTAATCCCAGCACTTTGGGAGGCCGAGGATTGCTTGGGGCCAGGAGTTCAATACCAGCCTGGGCAATGTAGCAAGACCCCATCTCTGCAACAAGATTTAAAAACAAAAAATTAACCGGGTGTGGTGGCGCGCACCTGTAGTCCCAGCAACTCAGGAGGCTGAGGTGGGAGGATCGCTTGAGCCCAGGAGTTTGAGGCTGCAGTGAGCTATGACGCCACGGCACTCTAGCCCAGGCAACAGAGCGAGACTCTGTCTCACACACACACAGAAAGGTGGTGGGATCTGGAGCAGGAGACTGGGCAGCTGATTTGTGGATTGTTTTAACATCCTTCTTGCTGCAGTCCAGCGGCAGCAAGTGGCTTCTCCTTGCCGGCCTCAGTCTGTAAGATGGACGTGGTCAGGCAGTGTCTCCAGAGCCCCCGCCCCTCCTCTCACCTCCCTCCTCTGTCTCAGCCTTTCTCGCCCCATCGCTTCCTTTCTCCGCGGCTCCTGCCAGGAAGCGGGAAGCATGCCTCCCCCAGGGAGACCGGCTGCCTCAGTTTACCTCTCCAGGCACTTTCTTCCTCTCTCTCTCCAGCGGCTTCTGGGTGTGGTCAGAAGGAGACGTTGTCTCTGCTTCTGTCCTTGAGCCAGGATGAGGCTGGGGTGTCAGAGGCTTCCGGGGACCGTGGGCCGCGGGGAGATGACCCCTTGCCACAGGGCAGCCCCTGGCTTCGTCCCTTGCACTTCATTGCCTGTGCCCCAGATGCCAGGCCCTCACCCCACTGTGCCCTCTGCCTATTCCTCCCTTTTTATTTTCTTCACTTTTTTTGAGACAGAGTCTCTCTCTGTCACCCTAGCTGGACTGCAGTGGCATCATCACAGCTCACAGCAACCTCACACTCCTGGGCTCAAGCCATCCTCCTGCCTCAGCCTCCCGAGTAGCTGGGACTACAGGCACGCGCCACCACACCCGGCTAATTTTTTGTTTTTAAATCTTGTTGCAGAGATGGGGTCTTGCTATGTTGCCCAGGCTGGTATTGAACTCCTAGTCTCAAGCAATCCTCCCCCCTTAGCCTCCCAGAAGTGCTAGGATTACAGGCATGCGCCACCGCGCCCAGCCTATTCCTCCTTTTTGGAAAGCTATATTCACATAGCGTGCAATCCGATTTCAAAGTGCACAATTCAGTGCTTTTAGTACAATCAAGGGGTTGTGCAACCGTCACCGGTATCTAATTCTCAGACATTTTTGTCCCCCCAAAAGGAGACCCTGTCCCCATCAGCAGTCACTCCGCACTCCCCCTCCCCCAGCCCCTGGCAGCCACCGATCTGCCTCCTGTCTCTGTGGCTTTGCCTGTTCCGGGCATTTCATATAAATCGAATCATGCAACGTGTGGCCCTGTGTTCTGTTCTTTCGTGGAGAAACTCGGATGTTTCCAAGGCGCGTCCACTTTGTAGCACGGATCAGGGCTTCGTTCCTTTCCCTGACGATTCCCCTGTGCGGGTCGGCCGCTATTTATGCATCCATCCACTGAAGGACATCGGGGTTGTTTCCACTCTGTGGTATCGTGAGTGTCGCGGCTCTGACCATTTGGGTACGAGTTTGCCTGAACGCCTGTTTTCGGCTCTCCGGGGCGTGTACCGAGCAGTGAGATTGCGGGGTCGCGTGCGATTATTCTGTGTTCAACTTATGGAAGGGCCCAGGGCTCTCCGCAGCGACCGCACCGTTTCACGTTCCCTGGGGCGCTGCGCGCGGGTTCGCGTTTCTCCACGTCCGCGTCAGCACCTGTCCTCCCGCCTTTCTGTGTTTTGAGTGCAGCCGTCCTAGCGGGTGTGCAGCGGCATCTCCTTGTGGTTCTAATTTGCATTTCCCCGCCGACCTTTCACGTGCCGGCCGATTGTATGACTTCTTTGGAGCAATGTTTATTCAAGGTCTTTGCCTCTATTTATGTATGTATTTACTTATTTATTTATTTTTAGAGATAGGGTCATGCTGCGTCGCCCAGGCGGGAGCGCAGTGGCACAGTCATAGCTCACTGTAAACTTGAACTCGTGGATCCTTCCACCTCGGCCTCCCAAAGTGCTAGGATTACAGGCGTGAGCCACTGTGCCCGGGCACTTTTGCCCGCTTTTAGTTGGGTTATTAATCTTTTTATTATTGAGTTGTGAGAATTCTTTATATATTGTGGCTACCAGACCCTTACCAGATACATGATTTGCAAATACTTCTCTCCCATTCTGTGGGTTGTGTTTTCACTCTCTGAAACAGTGTCCTTTGGGGAAGAAAAGTCTTACATTTCATGGAGCCCAATTTATCTATTTTCCTTTGGTGACCTGTGCTGTCGGCGTCACAGCTGACAATTCTCCTGGTCTTTGATGTCACTCTGTTGCAGGCACCTCGCCCCATCCTCCCCTCCCCGAACCCCTCCCTCTGGACCCTGAACCCCCACGCCCGAGTTGGTGCGTCTGTGTCTGGCTTTGTCCCCCATGGAGGCCCGTTGGGCTGGCCTCGCCCATGGGGACAGGCGCAGAGCAGCCTTCATCAA